CATGGACTGGTATCGGGCCGCAGCATGCCAGCAACCGGTCCACACAAATAAGCAAAGCGCCATCCATGGGAGACAGGCAGCACACAAAACCACACATTCTCTGGTTGGTGGAAAAACCTTTCTGCACGGAACCGGTCCCTGGTGCCCAAAAAGTTGGGGACCTCTGGACTAGAAGACCTCCGAGGTCCCTTTCAACTCTATTAGTCAATGTTCTAAACATACACTTCTTCATTAACAGATTATACGCACCTGGGATATATCCTCTCGTTCCTCCAATTGGTTAGGAAGATCACGGCAATCATTTCTAATCTGTGGATTCAGCAGAGTTTTTCGATGCTCCATAGTAAAAACAGGAAAGAAAGGCCTAATGTTCTGGATCACCAGATCCATGTATCTTGTATAACTCTATGTACCTTGTATAACTCTATGTATTCCTATGTAACAGGTCAAGGGGAGGGATTAGGGTCAGGGGCGGAGCTTCAAAGGCATCCCTGGACACTAGCCTGGCGTTAGTTCCTTTGTTCTTTGGCCATTCACATGCAGCCACACAGCTGCAGACTCCACGATCACCCCACCATGTGACGCTTGGGAGAAGAGGGGAAAATCTAATGTCAATTTACCTGTGGGACAACCAGATTGCTGAAACCTATTTTGGAAGCACCTCTACTAACTGTAAGTTTGTCTAGGATCCCCAGAATAAAGCAATTATCTCTGTTTGTTCTTCTGAGTTATCTATCTGTTAAAGACTGGAATAGAAGCACGTTTCCTGTCCAGAAACAGTATAGTAAATTGACAGATTAATTCTCCTCTGATCTCCTGCAATAGCAATTTGATGAGATTAATTTTCCTCTGATCTACATTTTAAAGAAGCAAGAAAAGTCTCTCTTGCATGTGAAAGTAACTAGAAGTGACTGAAGGTGTGATCTAGAGGCATTGTCTTGTTATTTGCTGTCATCTCTGCAAGCCAAGTTTTAAAACATCAAAACTCTTGCCTGTGAAGGCTGCGTCTCTGAAAATCAAAGAGTGTGGGCAGTTTCCCCCCTCCTTTTTCCCCTGCTAGCAACTTCAAAGCTTGGGGCAACACCCCCCCCTTATTATGCACTCTTCACTGCTTTAAAGATTTAAGCCTGTCTCCCACCTTGCCTAATGCAACAAGGATTTAAAACTAAATGTTTAAATCAACAAAGCAACTACAGATTGCTTCTCCTTCATGAGTTTGTAACCAAACATGCCTTCATTGTCTGCAAGCCTAGCAACTGGTGGTCAAGGAAGAGGGCAATTAAACCATTAAGCCACTCTCTCTCTCCGTCATAAAGCCTCAATACTGGCGAATAGATGCCACACTCCCTCCCCCCTTAGGAATGCTTGGAATTTCAACCGGTGTTAATAGAATAAGGAGGCAGGGGCAGAACCATCCCCACTAGCAGGGCAGCAGCACTCCCTGGTGGCCAATCTGCATGTGACACCTTGAAAAAAAAATTTCCTTTTTCTTTTCACATCACAACAATTTGATAATTTAATTCAATCAAGCCTATACCACCACTAATAGAGCTTTCACCCAATCAAGCTGGAGACCCAAGTTTCTTCCAGTTTTGAGTGACAGAAGAAGGTAGCATAGCCATCAATCCTTGCCTATTATCACAAGCTGAATACCCAGTGTGTTCCAGCCTGCAACTTA